AACTCTACACAACGTCAATCTCTCTCCTACTTATTTTTACTTTCAAGCAACTTTTTTTTCCTGTAATTCATCACTCTGATGATCTTTACCGCTTTTATTTAATATTAAGTACAATACTCGTTTCATCTTCCAAACTTAATTTATCTGCTAATTTACATGCTAGTTTCTTTCTATGTCTTAATCCATTACATTGCTAGTTTGAAAATTATTTAAAGTCCATAAACCTAAAGGCATAAAAAAGAACTCAGATGTCGTACGTGTTTGAATCTTAAGTTCAATTGAATTTTGGCATGCCCACAATCCAAAAATACGTCAAACAATTACATACAATAATTAAATTATATGATATGGAGCTTGAAAAATCTTCTCTTTTCCAGTACTACAGTGCTTTGCTCGTATCGGAGATAGGATAATCTACTACACAATTGCAAGCAAGAGCTTAGACATAGGATAGAGTCAAGTCTCGTAACTTAACTTATACTTTGGCTCATGAGAAACAAACCTGAGGACACTTAAACAAGAACTTTATGGCCTAACATTAGAAAACCATGCAATATTTATAAATATTTCAACCAAACTCTTTGTTTGCGAAGGCAGAAGAAAAATGCGTTCTTGAGTCAACAAGCTGTCTCCTCTTTGTGACCCTCAAGCATTTTCAACAGAAGTTACAGGTTTGAGCCGCATTAGTGCTAATGAATTTCATAAATACATCAATTTATCTCTCAATTTTCTATGAAGAGGGAGACAGAGAGCATAATTTCATTCCCAACAGGAGATCGTTTTTGACTTTTCTTTTTTTTTTTTTTCTATAAGAGAAAAAAAAAAGAACCCATAAACTATGGAATAACTTAGTAGTCAGATCCTATAGTGAGCTCTTCAGTCTTTTATACAACTCATAATTGGATTCCCATTGATTTTCGTTGGTCTTTTATTTTGGTAAGGTTTTCCTCTTGATTTTGGTGGTTATCCAATTCTCATAATGGTAAAATTTCAACAATCAAACTAGTCTGGTAGTCAATATGTTAGTGCAATCTTATTGTGATGATGATATGCAAAGCTTGTTTGGAAGACGAATTGATATATTCACTCTTTAAAAGGAGAACAATCTAAAATATTTAAATATTAATTACTGTGATTATGATATGCAAATGCTAATAAAAACCATTAGTAGAGTTATTAAAGGGTATATAATTTGCGTTTTAGGCATTTTTAAAAGCAAATTAGGAATTCAAAAGTTTTTTTGTTGAAATTTTATAGTAATATATATATATAGTAGTAGTAGTATTATCTAAATTATAAATTAGGTGTACACTGAATAATTATTTTTTGAAGTACAAATAGATGTATAGATATAGATATCTAAGGAAAGTACAAGAAGGGTTATTTAGATATTTAATTGATATTGAGTAATTAAATACATAATGATATAGTTGTCTTTAATCATTTTTATAAGGGTATTATGGTAAAAAAAAATTCACCTTTGTTAATATTTTATATAGTAGATATAGATATAGATAGATAAGAACATTTTAGGTCTCACTTGGATTTCTCCAAATATTTTTTGTATATTTTAGAATGTTCCTTGAAGAAAGTTTAAATAAGAAATACCTTTTTTAGGATCCTTTAAAATATCCTTCAAGAGGACTTAATATTAAAGAACTCATCATAAGGTTTTTTCTAATTTTCAAGAAGAAAGGATGTGATAAAAGTCTTATTTAACATAAAATATTATGTATTGAGATAACTCATCTTTTCAATATTTACATAAAAAATAGGTAAGACTGAAAAAAACAAAGGTAATAAAAAAAATATTCATCCACATGTGTCGTATTAGAATTGACTCAATTTACATCCGTTCAATTTATAATCTTCTATAGTTGAATTTATACTATATATAAGTCGTATTTAACATATTTGTTTCGTGTTTAGTTGAATTTTTTGAGAGATCTATCAAGTTCATTTGTTTATCATCACCCGCATCTATTAAGCTAAATCCAAGCTCGGACTTTTCGTATCGATTTCTTCCTTTGTACCTAAAATTGTTTTAAAATTAGAGGTCCTAATTTTTTTTAAAGTAATTTTATATGTTTTTTTTGGTTCCAAAATATATGTATTGAATTAGGGCCTACATAAGCGGTGGCCTTAATGTCATATGACTAGGGCCGGCGTTGACTACAAAGTGATTATACCCAACTGTAAAGTATGAGTTAAGCAAAACAAATCCAACAAGAGTACACCTACTATGCAATAACAAAAAAACAATTGATACTATTTCCATAACTAATCAGAAAAGGAATCATAGTAACAGAAAAGAAAACATTAATCCAAGAAACTCCAACTCTAAGCTATATAATACACAATAGTACTCATCATGTCAGAGGTCCCTAACTTTCTCCTCTGAAATAAAAAATTCAGGGTTCTCTTTTGCCGTACAATAGAACTCTCAATGAATCTCGCATGATTAACTAATTAAAAGATACTCTTCTACTATTTCTCCGAACCATGCATGGCTACTTCATGGAAACTAAACCTTTGGAATTCATTCTTGATGTCATCCAGATTCAAGACAAAAGATCTCGTCCATGCCTATACCTCTATTGCTTTAACAGATTTCTAAGAGCTTAGTCGAATCCCCTTCTAAGAATGACAAACTGCACTGTTTGATGTAGAGCAAAAATTATAGCTTGCTTCATAGCAGTGACGTCCATGCCCATAGGCAACGGACACGGTTACGGTACATCGAAAGAGATTTTTGATTTGACGGCTAAAAGCTGAAAAAAATATTATACAATGATGCAAAAATGGACGTGTAAAAGAAAAGCAAGGCAACTAGAATTACCTATTGCTACTTATATTGTACAACAATGATGGATGAAAGATGTACCATATCAATGAGTGAGTTACAAAATTTATGAAATATTTGCAATATTACTTGCAAGATTTACAACAATAATGAATACAATAACAAAGATAATTGTATTCTTACAAGGTCAGTGGAACCAAGTATAAGGGTAAATGATCCATTTACGACATTAGTAAGAAATGTAAAAAAGTAATGAGATAGGTACAAAAGTAAAGGTATATTTACAACAAAAGTGAAAAAATTTACGACTCATAGTCAATGTAATGGATGATTGATCAATGTAATATATGATCGATCATAAAATATTGATCAATCGAATAAATGTATGATTGATCATTATGTGGGAAGGTGTTGCGTAAGAAAATGAAATTTTGGAAAAAACTAAAAAAAATATATAATTTGACTGATCATAGTGCCTCAATAAGGTGTTTTTGTAAAATCATTGCGATATTAACGATATTAATGGGTAAAAGTACAAAATTAATGGTATAATTACAACAAGAGTGAGAAATTTTAAAATTTAGTGAGACCAACTACAAATTTAATGGAGTATTTAGTACATCAGTGAGAAATGTACAATAGTAATTGGGATAGGTACAAATGTAAAGATATATTTACAAGCATTGTGGATAAATTTACGAGGATATTATAGTTGTAGTCAACATAATTGATCAATCAATGTAACATATGATCGATCATTATATATTGATCGATTGAATAAACATATGATTGATCAATATGTGGTAAGGAATGGTGTAATATATAATTTGACCGATCACGAATATGAATTATCAATCTTATTTGGCTTAATAAGGTGTTTTTACAAAATTATTGTGAGGTTAACAATACTAATGGGAAAATTACAAAATGAATGGTATAATTAAAACAAGAGTGAAAAATTTTGAAAATCAATGGAACAAACTACAAAGACAATGAAGTATTTACTATATCAGTAAGAAATGTACAAAAGTAATTGGGATAGGTACAAAATTAAATATATATTTACAACCATAGTGGATAAATTTACGAGAAAAATATACTTGTAGTCAACGTAATGGATTGATCAATGTAATATATGATCAATCATTACATATTGATCGATCGAATAAATATATGATCGATCAGTATGTGGTAAAGTGTAGTGCAAAAAGGAAAAAGAAAAGTATTGAATTCGATCGATCAAACGTATATGATGATCGATCATATTGGGATAGGTCTGTAGTTTGAATTAGAAGTAATATTGTGTGGGTCTAATCGATTGTGTAAAAATATGATAGATCATTAAATAATAAGTGTATTTGATCGATCAAAAAATACATATTGATCGATCATATTGTTGCAGAATTGAGAAGTGAATCATAAGTAATAAAAATATTGGAGAGAGAGGATCGATCATTAAAAAATTTGATCGATCATCTTTTTGCAGATTTGTATTGTGAATCAGAAGTAAAAGTATTGGGGATATTTGATCGATCGAAACAATATTTGATCGATCAAATTGTTGCAGATTTTTAATGTGAATCAGAAGTAAAAAAAATACTGGGGAGATTTGATCGATCGTGTAAACAATATGATAGATAAGTATGTAGTAAGTTAATTCGATCAATTAAAATTTTATAGTGATCGATCATATTGTTGCAGATCATAAATACTGGGGACATCTGATCGATCAATTGTGTATAATGATCGATCATGGAGTTATAGATGGTGAAGTTGAAGGGGCAGTGGTATTGCGATCGATCAAAACAAAATATGACAGATCTGGTATGATATATTTACTTAAATGCCCACAAAGAGTAATAAATTGAAATATTGTAAGGGGGGTTTTGTAGTAAATAAACATCGGATAATACCCAAATAAATCCCCAAATCCTACAAAATTACCCCTAAATCACTCGCACCTACAAAACCCATTCAAAATTCATTCCAAATCCGAAAAAACTCATTCCAAATCCATTCAAAATCCGACAAAACCCATTCAAAATCCTACAAAATCCATTCAAAATCTCTCAATTCCATAAACCCTAAATCACCCACCACCCCAAAGCTTTTTCATCAATCAATCGAGTACACAAACTACTTCCATTATGAATCTTCATTCGGAGAAGAGTAAAAGTCACACATTGGAGCTTTGTTAATGTCAAGCGACGAGACGAAGAAACGGAAGAAGGGGGTTGCCGGGGGGAGTTCCGGCAATGCCAAAATCTTTGTGGATAAAGATGCTAAGAAGAGGTATGATACATTTATTGTTAAACGTCCTTTGTTAATTGAGCGTGGTGTTTACCTTGATGAGTTAGTAGGTAGTGTGGATTGCCCTAAAATGCTTCGGGCTCGGAAATGGGATCCTCTGTTTGATGTGATTGTGAAAGTTAAAGCATATATTGATCTCGTTAAGTTTTTTTATGCAAATGTTCATGATTTCAAGGAGAATGAGCTGACATTTAATTCATTGGTTAGAAAAGACTCGAATAACTGTGTCGCTTGATCTTATTTCAAATATATTAAAAATTGATTGACCAAAAATTCCTGAGAATTCAATTGTCTTTCCATATTCAAGTAAGGAGCAGGTTCCCAAAATGACGACATTTATTCGAGGTATTTGTATTGGGAGTGTCCCTTGGGAGAATGAAAAATGCAAAATTGCTCACATTGACCTTACTTCAACGTATAAGATGTTAAACCGAATTCTTGCATATAATATACATCTGAGGCGGCATACTGTTGAGATTGGATACAATACGACCCAATTATTATATGCTATTGGTGAACGTGGGATTTTTATTGATCTACCCCTTTACATATTCAACCATGTTCACGAAGCATCTACTGTTGAGGATTGCAGGCTATGTCTTCCATTTTCAATATTAATTTTCAAGATTTTGAAGCATAGTGGGTTTGAATTTCAGCGTAATTGCAGTTTTATGTGCCCCATGAATGCAATGGGTATGGGTACACTTAATAAAAGTGTTGGAGCTATTTTGGGTGTGAAACGGGCCAAGTGTGTGAAGCAGCCATCAACGGTGTCTCAGGTTGTGGTTAGTGAAGGTGGGACTAGTCAAGGTGGTTCTGATGTTAGTACTAGTGAGGGTAGACAAACACTTCAGCAAATGGTTGAAAAGTTGGAGGCCCAATTTGAAAAGTTCGAGGATGAAACGAAGGGGTCGTTACAACGTCTAGAGTCAAAATTAGATTGTTTTTATAAAGACTTTAAAGAGTACATCAATAATGACACATTGGTTTTGTGTTTTTTTGGTGAATCTTTTGTTGTATAGTAATATTTGGCATTTTGGTAAGGGTGTTGTAGATGTTGGGTGCATGGTTGTTAAATATATTGGCTAGTAGTTAGAAATAAATTGATGTTTGATGGTTTTTGAGTTTTGTTGTGGTGAATGTGAGGTTTGTGCGTTCTTTCATGTTTATTTGATTTAACAATGAAGTAATGCAAAGAATGCAGATAAATTGTACATCTGCACATTAGGTAGGATTAATTGTGACAACATAATTACATGTTTAGACATGCTTCCTTCATTTTGCCATTGTCATGTATACATGAAAGACAACGTAGTGAAGTTGAACCTTCCATGCAACTTAAGGAAGCTACATTGTGTGGTTAGTTGCCGTAGAGCAAAAGGGAGATTATCCCATAATATTTCAGTGGTCAGATGTGTACACGTTAACACTGCAAGAAGTATTCAGTGCAGTATGCTAATGAAATCATGGAATAGTTTGTACCAAATAACTGAAAGCAATGACAAAGCACTTGTAGTCGTACTCACCTCCAAAATGTTTAAAGAATTATTAATCTACTGCCCATGCAGAATTGAATCAAAAGCAGTGATCACTTGCTATTAAAAAAATAAAAAATGGATATCAAAACCATGTTGATATGTATTGAATTTCCCAAAGTAATTAAAAGGTGATAATGTATGAAACCTGATATCAGAGGACATTATAATTGTAAAGTAGGATTCCAATGGTCGTCTTCTTGAGTTGATGGCATGGGATGTTGGGAGCCACCAGGTTGTGAAAAGGGCATGTCATCATGTGGGTCGTCCGCATGACACGTAAGCTACGGACACTTACGAATAGTATGTCCAGTGCCACGACATTTACTACATCGTTGCGGAGCTATTGGTAGGTTTTTTCGTACACGGCTCAGAAAACCTTTCGCTATCACTGTCTTGGGATCGACGACACCAAATTTTATGTTTGACATAGTGTCATTATCTTTGTCCTGTGATGCTGACACCTGTATTGCCTCGCGTGTATCATGACGTTGTTTCATGCGGTTGGTTACTGTAGTTATTGTTGTTCGAAACTCCTGTGCGTCCTCAGGCAATTGTGTTGCGTAGTAACACATCCGGTTACAAATTGACATTAATCTAGCATATCAACAAGAAGTTAAAATGGTTCTTGATGTTTGAGGGACAGAGGTCGGTGGGCAATCTGATTTTGCAGTAATTGTTCATTGCTTTAGAATAGTACTAAGAGGGAACTCTGTTATGTGTTCAGTTTTCAAAACTGTAATGATGTGTGAGCAAGGAAGTCCAATAGATTGTAATTTCAAGTAATTGCATTTGATGGTGTGATTCTGATAATAATATGTCACATTCCAACTGGTGTAGTTATCTGTCACAACCTGATTGGTTGGTATGGAATAAAACACTAAACGACGTCACTTGGATCTGCCTGGCAAAAAAAAAAAAATTGATCGATCAAACTAATACATAATCAATTGAATAGTTTCAGACCACCACATTTATATCGCTAATATGAGGGGGGATTGAACAACCATTCTTCTACTACAACAACACCTTGATATTGATCTATTGCAAAGTAAATGATCGATTATGAAGTTGCAAAATGTTAATGATTGATCCAATCACTAGTTGATTGATCCCTAAATTTCAGAATGTGATCAATTTATACACCAGACCGATCGATCGTGTAAAAAATTGATAGATCAGTAAGTAGTAAGTGTATTTGATCAATCACAAAATACAATTTGATCGATCATATTGTTCCAAATTTGAAAAGTGATTCAGAAGTAATAAAAGTATTGGGGAGAAAAGATCGATTGTTAACCTCTTTGATCGATCGAATTAGTAACTGAATTCGATCGATCAAAACTATATATTTATCGATCAAGTTATTCCAGATTCGTACAGAATCCACTGTAATAGAGATACTAGGGAGAAATGGTCGATCGTTAACAAATAAGATCGATCAAATTAGCAAGTGAATTCGAACGATCAAAAATATATATTGATCGATTATGTTATTCCAGATTCAAAAAGATTCCATTGCATTTGTAAATATTGCAATAAATGTGGTATAAAATCCATTAAAATTATAAATATTCCCACAAATTTGGTAAACAATCCAATGAAATTGTAAATATTCCCATAAAGAATCCATTTAAGTTATAAATAGTCTCATAAAAGTAGTAAATGATTTATTGAAGTTGTATATCTTCTTAAATTAGCTGTAAATTATTCATAAATTAACCACACATCTGTGTGTTCTGATCGATCACGGACTAGTAAACATCATAAAAAATATCATTAAATTAATAAATACTGCTCTCCACTAATAATTTTGTCCACAAAACTGGTATATATTCTTCAATTACTTGTAAATTATTTACAAATTAAGTACAATTCTCTTAAAAGACATTCACAACTCTCGTAAAATTTTTTTGATAACTCTCGTAATTATTAACTTTATTATAGTAACAAAACCTTTAATATAGTAATTATTTACACAAATGTGGTAAAAAATCCACTGAAATTGTAAATATTATCATCAATGTCGTAAACAATCCACTGCAATTATTAATATTGCCATAATTGTGATAAGAATTCCATTGAAGTTGTAAATATTACTAGAAATTTGGTAAACAATCCACAGAAGTTGTAAATATTCCCATAAAAAATTCATTGAAATTGTAAATGTTCTCATAAAAGAGGTAAATGATCCATTGAAGTTGTATATCTTCTTGGATTAGTTGTAAATTATTCATAAATTAAGCACACATATGTGTGTTTGGATCGATCGATACTTTTCTAAACTAGTAATTTTTAAATATTTCCATAAATGTCGTAGGAATGCCATTGAACTTGTAAATATTGTTAGCAATTTGGTAAACAATCTACTGAAGTTGTAAATATTCTCATAAAGAATCTATTGAAGTTGTAAATATTTACATCAAAGTGGTAAATGATCCATTGAAGTTGTATATCTTCCTGGATTAGTGGTAAATTATTCATAAATTAAGCACACATCTAAGTGTTTGGATCGATCGATCATATTTAATGATCAATCATGGACTAGTAAATATCGTAAAAAAATACCATTGAATCAGTAAATACTTTTCTAAGCTAGTAATTTTTAAATATTGCCATAAATGTGGTAGGAAATCAATTGAAATTGTAAATATTCTTACAAATTTGGTAAACAATGCAATGAAGTTGTAAATATTTTCATAAAGAATCAATTGATGTCGTAAATATTGCCATAAAGGTGGTAAATGATGTATTGAAGTGATACATATTCTTGGATTATTTGTAAATTATTCATAAATTAACCACATATCTGTTGTTCTGATCGATTGATCACAAACTAATAAATATCATAAAAAATATCATTGAATTAGTAAAAAAAATTCGCAACTCTCATAATTATTAACTTCATTATAGTAGTAATTATTTACACAAATGTAGTAAACAATTCATTGAAGTGTTAAATATTGTCATAAATGTCATAAAGAATCTATTGAAATTGTAAATGTTAAGATAAATGTGGTAGGAAAGCCATTGAAGTTGCAAATATTTTCACAAAATTGGTAAACAATACACTGAAGTTGTAAATTTTCTTATAAAGAATCCATTGAAGTTGTAAATATTCCAATAAAAGTGGTAAATGATCCATTGAAGTTGTATGTATTCCTAAATTAGTTGTAAATTATTCATAAATTAACCACACATATGTGTGTTCTGATCGATTTATCATGTTATTTATTGATCGATCATGGACTAATAAATATCGTAAAAAATACCATTCAATTTGTAAATACTACTCTCCATTAGTAATTTTCTCACAAAACTGGTATATCTTTTTCGATTGAAGTCTCAAGTATCCCATAATCGTAAAGAATCTATTGAATTTTTAAATATTGCCATAAATGTGGTAGGAAATCAATTGAAGTTGTAAATATTCCTACATATTTGTTAAACAATCCATTGAAATTTTAAATATTCCCTTCATTATGGTATCAACATTGTATTATATTTTAATAAAATTACTATTAGTAATTATGATGTACTATCTAATATATTATTTTACTGTCTTATCTTGTCTACCAACCGGTATTCAACAGATAATCAGTTACTATTTGGAAAAAAAAAAATTTCAAAAGACACATTAATTATCGGCTCACTTTTTTTGTTAGATAAATTTACGGTGCAAATTGAATTTTCGGTACCATACCGAAAATCCCCTTAGATGTACCGTCTAGTCCATAGGCAACACTCCATGCATAATTTTCTTGGCCATCCCAGCCACAAAAGAACTATTGTTCTCTCATAACAGCCCCAACCCCAACCTACTCGCTTTCCGAAATTACCGCACCATAGAAATTAACCTTAAAAAGTTCATTTCTAGGAGGAATCCAAGACGCAGAGAATAGAGATAGATAGCTGTGGTAAGGGTCGTCGCCTGCTGATAGCAAGTTAAATATTCTCTAGCGTCTTTGACTTTAGAAGCAGGATTTTTCGAAGAACCCGAGTGGAACATCTCATTTCGGTGCTTTCAAAACAAGAAGAAACAAGGAAAACTTATTTGAGAAGTAGTCAATTTGCACTGATATCAGTGTGTATTTATCATTTAAATTTCAAAACTACCTGTGCAGGACCCATCACCATATCAGATGAAGTATCGCTAAAGCATATTAAACTTTGAATTATTTTCATACAAACCCCACTAAAAACCAATTCTTTTCATCAATTCCCCCCCCCCCCCCCCCCCCCTCTTTCTCTTTATAATAAGCTAAATCAAAAAATCAACGTCATCACTTTATTCCACCACCACTAATAAAAATCAATTTCCCCACCCACAACCTCCTGCTCCAACTCTGCCACTACCACCATCGATGCTAAATATCATAGCCCCATCACCATCACCACAATTCTATCAGTATAAGCCTCCAAAAATCATCCTATACCTCTTTTTTCCTCAATCCCCCTTGAAGTTAGTTCAATACAATAAACATTGTAAGTGATTGTTTGACAATTCGACGAGAGCTACACTAAATCATGACGTAAAGAAACTCAAGAATGGCCTATGGAAGTCAAACAGATATACAACATAGATTTTCTTTTTTTGTTTTTCACAACCAATAAGTTACAACAAACTTCATCTAAATTTAGATTTTAATAACCATTATAGGATGATTTTACAACAAACTTCGTCTAATAGTAATATCTAATTAACCATTTCTTTTTCTTGTGTGAATACAAAATTAATTATATCCGCATCACTTTAGTCTTATTTTAATACTTTGTTCAAGTCAAGTTAACTTAGAGAAAGAAAAGGGTAGAAATCTTGCCACCGTCCAAAAAACAGACACTAGAGTAGCAACAGCTTATACGTCGTTTAAAAGCTGCTTCAAGAATCTAACGAAACAACAGCTGCTTCAAGGATCTAACAAATAGCTAAGGTTCGTTGACGATTCCGGCTATAATTCCAGGGACATCATAAATAGTACTTACTATTCCTACTTTTTCCACTTCGCATATGGGCTTTATATTCTCTAGAGCGTCAACCATAAGTTAAGTTTGATTACATCGCATTCAGTTTGATTCAAATAAAATCTCACCACACTTGAGGGTAATACTTATAATACTACAGGTTAATACACTCAAATGATCTATAAAGTTTTATTCAAATACAATCACATTAGTTTAAAAAATTTCACTAGCTCACAAAAACAGCTCTAACTAGCGCAGGGCATCTCACTATATTTATAAAATTTGGGGCCTAGGTACATGAGTTAGGCAAAACGATACTGTAAAGCATGGGTTAGGCATAACGAATCAAACAAGAGTATAAGTACCGTGCAATCACAAAAACGAATGGATACTATTTCCATAACTAATCCAAAAAGGAATCATAGTAACAAAAAAGAAAACATTAATCCATGAAACTCCAACTCTAAGCTATATAATACACAATAGGACTCATCATGTCAGAGGTCCCTATCATCAATCCATTACCTTTAGGCCCTAACTCCAAGCCATATAATCTGCAATTGAACACATTCAAGATATCTCTACTTTCTCCACTGAAATAGATATCTGTCAGCTTCATGAAAGTCTGCATAGCGAGCAAACTATCCGACCCTGCTTGATGACTCTTCCCCACCACACGATCAACCTCCAAAGCTTTTGCCACCTTTTCTAACCCACCATAGAGCCCAAAATGTTCCATGATATGTTTCATGTCATATACTGTCACACCAAAGTAAGATTTCACCAACTCCATAAACTGATACAAATCACCGGGCAATCTTTCCCTTGTCAAAGTCTTAATCATGAACCCAAAATCATAAGTTCCATGAAAAGTAACCCAAGTCACAGACGGATTGAAAACAAGTCCAGATTCCAGAAAAAGTTTAGAAAAGTGCAAAAAAGAAATACCCTTTTTCCCATTCTTCGCAAAATCGATCCCTTGTCTCTTCAATAACTCAATCGATTCCAGATTGTAACGGTGTCTATCCACATCAAAACCCCTGAAGTTGAACTCCCATACGTAACAGATATTAGTCCCAAAATCAGGAAGATTTCCTTGAGAATCACACAAGGTTAGGCCGACTTGAATGAGCTTGAGACAGTCGACATTACGCTTCATCCAAGAGTACTGATCCAACGGATTGAGATGAGAATACATGTGTTTTTCAACATTGGGACTGAATATAACCCCAGGGAATTCCGTGTCCATTGAAACATACGGGTATTTGACGAGTGTTGATCGAATCATCGCAAACTCTTTGTCCATATTCTCAGCCCAAACCTCTCGAACTAGCACTGATCTTTTTGCAGACCCATGTTTGATGTTCTTCAATCCAAAGAGAAAACAGAGAGCAATATATATAGAGAGAGAGAGAGAGAAGTCTGCGTTAGTCTCCAAGTCTCGAGTTTTCCTAATGGAGATCGACTTACATACCTATATGGTTTCCTAATCAATAGTGGGCCATATTATTACCCTAATCAGGTTTGAGTTTGACTATGTCATTGGGCTTTGTTTTGGCCTAACAACTCTTAGTGCTATCTTCAAATATATTATAACTGGTAATTATCGGTATCTAAAGATATATATAATTTCTAAAAAAATTATAAATACTTGTCCATATATGATAATTGAGTGATTAAGAGTCAAAATTCTTTAGGCGAGAAATTATTTTTTGGATAGTTAATTTATTTACTGTGAATTTTATCCCGTTAATCGAAAATGTTTGAAACAATTGATAAGTTTAGATATTTAAAATCGCTTCTACTTTATTATATAAATATTTATTTTTTCCCTTCTTTCATTTGTATGATTATCTTCATAAAATAAAGCACGAATGTTCTTTTTTTAACTTTGATATTAAGATCTGTTTCGTGAAAAAATAGATTGACTTATTTGCAAAGAGAGAGAAAGAGAGGGAGAGATTTCCTAACCGAGATCGACTTATCTATGGGGAGTTTTTTCTTAAAATAATGTTTTTTAAAATAAATATTTCCAAAGCAACACTCTTAAAAAACTAATTACTTTTTTAATACTTCTTTGCCACTTGTTCACTTAAAGTTGACTAAGATTGGCATTTTTATTTAAATTCTTAATATTGAAACCTAAAATTACTTCAAAGAATTTAAACTTAATAGGCAACAGTCTTTTGAGATCAACTACTTAGAAATTTATTTCACATGAAAACCTTAGTATTAACGTTAATGATTTATCTGACTTGACTGAAGAAGATATTTATCAAAATACGCATAAGTTGATCCGCATACTTTGATAGTTGAAAAAAAAAAATAGTGACCAAAGGATATAGGAGTCTTTTTAGTTTTGCCGATAGACCAAAATCAGCATTTCATCCCACACTACAGTCCTCTTCCTTCGTGTCTATGCGGTAAGACATGGTATTCCAATTCTTTTCCTTTGTTTTCTATAGTATTGACTTTTTGGTCTTTATCTAAAAATAAGTGATAGCTGATGAGCCCGAATTTTATTGAGAGAAGCCTAATTTAAATAAATCAAGAAAGCTAAAAGAAAAATTCAATCCTAGTAAAAGAAGTCCAAACCACCGTATCTTAAAGGGAATTGGACCTGCTCATAAATCAAGAAGGAATCAATGGAGCCCAAGCCAAACGAAGCACCCAAGAGGGCATTGCCCAAGGCATTAGAGGGCGTCGCCCAAGCCATCCCCAAGCCAGGTGTCGCCCAGTGCTGGCCCTCGTGGTTCCTCCTTCGCTCCTTTCTCCTGGCCACTCCAACTCAAGTTCAGCACACTCCAATGCTAGTCCAGACTCAAGATCAAGCCCAGTTCGACTCAGGATTATCCTCCGATGGAATAGGAACACGAGAGAAAGAATATCGGGATACGAAGATTCAATCCTACTAAAATTGTACTTACCAAAATAATGAAAGACCCCTTCCTCACGTCACCACTTCACCGCCTTTGTAAGCCTACACATAAGGGGCATTATATTCAGACCTCACATATCTATCTACACATATTACTTTCTCTCTCTCTCCCTCTCTAAGCATTGTAATACTCCTGGAGAATACTCTTTTCGGCAATTTTACCCATTAATAAAAGACTCAGGTTACCGTTGCCGTTTAAGAGAGTGGAGTAGGTCACTCGGACCGAACTATTATAAATCCTTGTGTTAGCTCTTTATCTTCTGCTTTTCTATTAATTATTTGTTTATTGCTCATTAATTGCCTCTGTTCATATTCTCGACTGTTGACCTTGCACGAGACCAATTTGTGCATCATCAGTTTGGCGCCGTCTGTGGGAACCGACTAATTTTTCTACTCTTTCAATCCATGAAAATCATTACCAGATCAATGAGCCAACAGTCGGGAGACAATAACTCGGCACACAGGGAGGAGGCATCGCCTCCCTTCGCACCATCGGAACCATCTGCTACAGCGACCCTTGTCATCAGACAACAGTTCCTCCAAACTATGCACTTGCTAGTGAGCCAAAATCAACATATTATCCAACTGATTCTCGTCCAAGGAGGCATTGCCCCTCACCCTATGGGAGGAGCTCCACTCCCTCTAACAGGAGAGGAGCAATAACCTGTCCTTTTTGGGTGCTAGGCAGGCCCCCATCAGGGGGCCCCTAGTCAGAACACTCCAGGGCCACGCCAGGGCGTCCCTCGTCCAACAGTCCCTCCTTAGTGCACAGGGAGCTCACGAGTTCCCCCTCCTCATGAACCTGCACAGGAGGACGAAGACAGAAAGTCAATATGGAGACCATGAAAGCCAGTACCATCACCCGACCGAGGATGTCTCAAATTAGTGGGACGAGAAGATCAGAGAGGTGCAAAACCAACTCGGGGATGCTCTCAACACCATCAAAGCACAGACGCCTACAACCGTGGACTACCTGGTAAGACGTACTGATACGTCTTTTGTTACAGATATTGTCAATTATCCTTTGCCCTCGAAGTTCAAGATTCCCACCATCAAGATCTTCGACGGCACCAAAGACCCCCTCAACCATTTTGACACGTATAAATTCCTCATGTAACTCCACAACGTACCTGAGGAGATTATTAGTAAGGCTTTTCCTACCACCTTGAAGGGGTCTGCCCGCCAGTAGTTTTCTAAGATCAAACCTTCCTCCATCCACTCTTTCGCAGAACTGAGTAGGTCTTTCGTCTCTCACTTCATTGGGGGATGCCGGCATGAGAAACCAGTGACCCACCTGCTCACCATCAAGCAGGACAAGGATGAAAGCCTTAGAGACTACCTTGTCTGCTTCAATGAGGAGATTCTCCAGGTTGAGGAGCCAGATGATAAGGTAGCTTTGGCCACCTTTATCGTTGGACTCCGCATCTCCAGCTTCATGTTCTCAGTCTTCAAGAAGTCTCCCTCCAGCATACCCGAGCTGCTATCCAGGGCACAGAAATACATAAACGCTGAGGACGTCACCACAACCCGTAGAGGTGAGTCCTCCAGAGGGGGAGAGAAAAGGAAGGATAGTCGAGAAGACAGAAGGGAGACTGAGAACAAGAGAAAGAAAGTCGAAGGATCTCTGTGAAAGACCGTCTCGAACCACTACCCCCGAGACATCGACAGTCATTCAGTCCACTCAATGCCTCAGTAGAGCACATTTTGTTCTAGATACAGGATGACCCTGTAATTCGTTGGCCTGAAAAAGATGAAGTCTGGCCTGAAGCGCCGAAATCCCAGCAACTATTGCCGCTTCCACCGCAACCATGGACCTGACACGGATGATAGCTTCCAGCTCAAGAAGCAAATCGAAGAGCTTATTCAGTGCAGCCAACTGAGACATTATGTGGTTGGTCGAGGACCAGCCCCACCACATGAAGAACGAGAGCGTCAACAACCCCTTGGTGAGATTCAGACCATCGCCGAAGGGCTAGGAGGAGGAGGGGACTCCAACTCCGTCAGGAAGACGCAAGCCCAAAGAGCTAGACAGGTAGAGTCACATGACTCTCACCCAATAAAGACACCCTGACCCAGGGAGGAGGAGGTCATCACCTTCTCAAACAAAGACCTTGAGGGGATCCAGGTCCCACATGACCCCCTAGACATGACGACCCTAGTTTTGACCATGATGGTGGACAACTACTAGGTCAGGAGGGTCCTGGTAGATAGTAGGAGCTCAGTCGACATTCTATTTGCCACAGCCTATGACAACCTTCACCTCGGAAGAGAGCGATGATAGTTAGTCAGGACTCCCCTGGTTGGTTTTCTCAGAAGAAAGAATCCATCCCTTGGGATCTGTCACCCTGCCCATCATAGCAGGAGCTCTACTGTTATGGTAAATTTTCTTGTACTTGATTATTCTTCTACATATAATACAATTCTTGGGCGACCTGCCCTCAATGCCCTAAGGGTAGTACCGTTAACCTGCCACCTTCTCCTCAGTTTTCCAACCTCTAGTGGGATTAGGGAGAAAAGAGAAGATCAGGTCTCAGCCAAAGAGTGCTATGTGGCCTCTATGAGGGCCAAAAGACCACAGGAGACTCTCAAAGTCGAAGTCCTTAATCCTAGAGATGATAACACCCTAGAGAGGGGTGAACCTATAGAAGAGCTTCAACCCGTAGTGGTCGACGACAATCTTCCAGAAAGGAAGGTCTACATAGGTTCCTCACTCTCCCAGGAGCAAGCATCCACCTTGGTAAACTTCTTTAGCCGGAACATGGACGTCTTTACCTGGTTCCACGAAGACTTGGAGGGCATCAACCCCAAGGTGGCCTCCCACTGACTCAATGTTGATCCTAGATACAGGCTTGTCTGCCAGAAGTTGAGGAACGTAAGTACTGAGAGAGGGCAAGCCATGGAGAAGGAGGTAGACAAACTGTTGACGAATGAGTCAGTGAGGGAGGTAGCCTATCCAGACTGGCTATCCAATGTGGTTATGGTGACAAAGGCCAATGGGAAGTGGCACCTCAGCATGGACTTCACGGAGCTCAACAAAGCTTGTCCCAAAGACAGCTATCCTCTCCCACGCATCGACCTCCTCATTGATGCTACTGCCGGACACGAGCTCCTAAGCTTTCTGGACGCTTACTCCAGGTATAATCAAATCATCATATTCCCTCCGGATCAAGAGAAGACCTCATTCATCACCCCAAGAGGCACTTACTGTTATAGGGTAATGCCTTTCAAGAATGTCAGAGCCACATATCAGCCCCCTATCAACAAGATGTTCGAGGCCCAAATAGGAAAAACGATGGAAGTCTATGTAGTCGACATGTTGGTAAAAAGTATAACAACCGTAGATCATGTAACCCACCTCTAAGAGACCTTCGATGTGTTAAGAGCCTAAGGATGAAGTTGAATCTTGAAAAATGAGCCG